AAAATAAAAATTATTAAAATGAAAATTACAAAAGCGTCTAAATTTGTACGACCACCAAAATGCACGGGCCGACGCCAATTCAATGAGTCGAATATTTCATTTGAGATCATATCGGACGAAACTTTGAAGGAGAACCTTTCCTGAAAAACAATGTAATTTAAACATTGCAATAATAATGGAGTAGAATTATAACTATTACTGCCAATATCAATATCATCAAAAAAGCGAGAAATATCCTACCTATCTTTCGAAGTGGATGATATAGCAACATGATGCAAAACAAATTTTGAAGTATGTAATACAGAAATAATGTGATTTTACATTATGAAGGGTAGACTCGCTGACCGAGAGTCTTGTGGACAAGAAAAGGACAAGTTGATTTTGATAAAGGAAAGTTTTATTAATTTGAAATTAGAGAAGTGTAAGGAACACTCTTGAAATGTTCCTTACATATGTCTAATACCATTCCTGCAGTTATCTACAGTCTTCAGCAACAAAATGTCCTATCCTTCAAAATTTAAAATAAGAACACTTACAGAATGGATGTTCGAGGAGCCGGGGTTGTCTCTTCTGGACCTTTAATACCTTTCATGGATTGTTTTAGAGCCATTTCTACAGCAGCAATGCATTCTTGATCTGCCGGTAGATTCCTCGGCAAAGTAGGTCGACCCGCCATATCAGATCGTCGTTTCCGGAAGGATGGTTGCATCCTCGAACTCGCAGTCATTCCAGTCGAAGTTTTGGTAAATGTTTTTGAATCACCTCTTTCAAAATAAGCTGCGGGTCTGTCAACACTCTGTTGTAGACAAACATCTGTTATTGACTGTCTTTCCCGGATCTCTACCTCCGTCTTGGGCCATTTCCGCAAACAGTTTTGGGCCGTAGCAGATGATCTTAGATTACTGACACCTTTCAACAATTCTTCAAGTGTCAAATCACCGAAATCTCTTTTTGCTTCTTCTAAGGAAATTATCTTCAACAACTGATGCTGTGTTTGTCGCGAGTACAGTGATGCAGACATTGTTTCATTTTTAATGAAATCAAGTTCCAAAGCTACTCCAACTACTAATTCCTTCACCAAAGAAGCGATCACGCGGTCATCGTCAATGACCTCTGAGTTCGGTCGTTGCCGTTTTTGTTTCTGGAAAACTTCCCGCATTTGAGCAATATTTTACAGATTCTGGCATTCTTGTGTTCACTGATGGCACCACGAGTGAAATCCGATCTAAAGAACTACTAGTTCCCGATACAGTGTCACAATAAGCTGCTTCATCAAACGTTTCTTCGAAAGCAACATTTTGTTTCCGCTTTCTTACAGTTTTTGCCGATATTTCAGAGTTGTAGCCAGCTTCCTTAAAATCTTGACCAGCATGTGAGACTTTATTCTGAGGTGCTGACTGCAAAACTTCCAGAATAACAGTGCCATTATTTGAATGCATCTCCTCTGAATCCCCCCCTTCAAACTGTTCCTGTTGCTTTTGAACCGGTGAATCTGTTTGTGAACAAAATTGAACGAAAGAATCTGTAAATGAATCCAAGGGAAAATCTGTGGTAACAACACATTCTGGAACGAAGCTCATTTCCCACGACCTCGAGTCGCATTCTTTTGTTTCCAGGTTACCTGGGCTTTCCCATTCCCAATCTTTTTGATCTAAAGTACTGGTTCGATTATTTATAGCTGGCACGTGGATATCCTTAACTAATCCGAAGCTTTCTTCTGTATCTTCGTCATCAATTCGAATCTGTCGAATCGGAATTTCGGATTCCCAAGCTTCCATTTCATTTGGAACATACTTAAAGAAGAATATCAAATAGAAAACCAGAAAAGTAGATTATCTGATAAACAAAAACAAGAATAATAATAACAAATAATTACTAACAGGATTTGTTCCATCTGAGAGAAGAGGTGTATTGAGAAAAGAATCCCGACTACACTCATTCTCCGTAACTATACTTTCAGGTCTTACTGAACTGCCTCGTGTTGCGTGACCCGAAGATGGCGTGACTGCACCAGAATTATTCTGGAAATGAAGTAATGGAACATATTTCCTGCTTGACTTAATTTACAAATTCAAACAGCAAAAAAAAAACAAACCTTTTTGGCATTACCGATTTCTCGTCCATTTAATTTATCTCGAAATACATTTGGATAGAGATACCATAAACGCTGTGGTAACAAGTGAATATTTGGTAAAGGTATATAGCCTGTCCTCATCTGTTCTTCTGTTCTCCTTGTCCAAAAAACTTCTCTTGGAACCCATAATGGAAAGTGACAGCTCTGAAATAAGTCAAATGTTTACCAAAACTTGTATCATCCCGCAATGAACTTTAAACGATGAGTGTCACCTCAAACTATATCCTTCTTCACTAAACGTATAATAATGCACACTGCTAAGAAACTAGGAAATTTTAAAACTTTAAAGTGTGGGATTGGAATTGGTGTTAAATAACATTAAAACAGTAGCAAAACAATTCTTAGTCGTTGTTTATCCCTGTTCTTCTGAAGCCACCTGACAAAGTTTAGAGTGTGTGATTTGAAATGAAAATTGGAAAAAACTCAACAAACCTGATTTTTTATGCCTCGACAAGTCCACCATATTCTTTGGTAGGTTTGACCGTTTTCTTTGTAGACGTCAAGTTCGAGAGCTTCTAGCCGTTCCGGACATTTAGGGCATTGCAATATGTCGAAATCATAAACCTAATTTTCACAATCTCAATCTTAGCCATTAGGCGAAAACAATCAGGAATGGAAAAGTCAATAATATATTTGAAATGCAAACTATCAAGAAATCGTTAGAACTGAGATGCAAATTTAGTTGACTATAAAAGAGGTCTAAAAGTGATTTCATTAAACTGCATAATAGAGATTTAAAAACAAGGAGAGAGAGAGAGGTTCTTACTACGGTTTTTATCGCGTAACTGATAGAAAAGCGATGCAGTGATATCGTCCAAATTCGAAGAAGCAGCAGCAGCTGGTGAAGAAGTCATAGCTGTACCTCAGATGTCCTCCCTTAATCAGTCATTTGCGAAGAAAGAAAATGAAATCACAAAATCATCGACAGGAGGAACATCGGACAACTCTCTCCCCAAAATTGCTGCACTAAGAATGTATTCATCATTGTCGCTTAGTGAAACGACTCTGGCCAACAATT